GCAGCTCTCCTTGAAAGAAGAGCGACTGTCTCCATTTTGACTGAGCCTGACCCTGTTTCCTCGTATTATGTATAGAGCTGGCTAGGACTTCTGTTTATCCTTCAATTGGCCTTAAGCAATGTATATTGGTCTAGCTGAGGTGCTGGTGATAGTCTTTGAAGGTGGCGTGTGTGTTTCCCTGGTAAACCTGCTGCTCTTCAATGTGAGCCAGGTCAAGACAGGACGGTAGAGCCAATGCTCCGTGCTGCCAGCTGGGATTGAGCCTCGAGGCATAGGCTATGACTTCCCTGGGCCTTGAAAGACTACATCAAAGCTAAAGCACCAGACTTACCAAAACATTAGATACTATATAATTCAGATTACTCTCTCTGCATATCACAGAGGTAAATTTAGGCCACCCATCTAGCTCAGCTCATAATAGTCACCTACTTCCCACAATTGTTAGTCAATCCTCCTCAAGACACTCCTCCGCTGAGTAAAACCTGGTGAGGCCCTGGGTTGCTCCCTTGGTTCCAGAAAGCCATCTTCGTAGCTGAACTTAGAGCCCCTTGACTCCCCGATGATCGAAAATAGAATTTAGTGTCTTTATTTGCACCATGGGTTGCAATGAAAGTGGTAGATTGGAATCAACTTGATGGGATTCCAATAACATAACTTTAGGATTACAAATACTGGCTTCTTGGACTGAGACCATCTGGAAGTGTCTCCTACACCTGTCTTCCTTTTTCCCAAGAAAAGTGAAAGGCTGGCTCCAAACAAAAGAGTAAGTAAATGCAGGAACTGTTCATACATTGGACCCACATAACCTCTAATAGTGTGAAACTAGCCTCATTTTATTACGTGAATTGGCTTGAAGTCTTAATTTTACCTTATAATAAGTGTTTTTAGTAAAAGTCTTTCACATGACCTTTCACTGAAGTGCCAGACTTTTAATAACAGCAGCATGTACACTTTAGAGATTAATGTATTAATCCAGATAACCAGTGTCTGCTAAACTAATGAGAAGCTATGCAATCTTGTTCCAGTCCATATGTGAATTTTTGTTACCATAAAGTATCCCAAAATGTAATGGATCTTAATATCAAAAGGCAAAACAGCAAAGTTTTTAAGACAGGTCTGTTGCATTATTCTGTTGACCATAATCTTTCCTTTTCTTTGGTCATTAAGACAGGTAAATGTACCTGGCTTTGCATTTCAAAAATACAGGACCCAGATTCTAAGTAATCATCAGTGTTTTCTGAAAATCTTAGACTATCTGTCCTTTTTGTCCCTGATCATGTGTATGTGTTGTTACATCTAAACTCCACTTTGTACAGTGCAAAAATGGTGAAACCTTTTGTAGAGTTGTAAGGCTTTCATTTCATGGCACTCATCCATCCACAAACAAAAGGGGTTTTTTACTGGAGTGAGTTTCATCCACTATTTTCTCAGTTTTCTACAGGCATGAGTCTAAGGATCTAAGGAGAAAAATCCCCTTTCATTGTCAAAAAATATTTTAACATTCTCTAGACAGGATAACTACTTTCTTCCCTCATACAATCTGTTCTCCATTCTTTGGAAGCCAATTTCCTCTCCCTCATTTTGTAAGTTACATTAAGATCTTGTGTTATATGAGACCTTTGGCACTACAATTATCACAGGGGAAACACTGCTGCTTATTTTTCTGGAACTTGTAGGTGATGTGGTTTGACTCCAAGCTAGGAGCATATCAGGTTTTCTACCATTGTGTTTATCATATAGTGATGTGCCCAGGCATTCAGAGGGATGGCATGAGTTTCTCTTGACATTCCATTTGTACTATGGAGTCACTCCCTTGGGCGTTTGCTTTTGTAATCTTCCTATTATTCTATTGGTGCTTTTACTTAATGGTTATGCTGTTTTTACAGGATCATTTTTCTAATAGTTTAGATCATTCAATTTCTCTTTTAGTATGAACATTCTACCCTAAGTCAGTCCCTGCCCACACAATGACAGTGACTCACTAAGTCTATGTGGATAGTATGGGTGTCTAGCCTCAGGAACATCTGTAATTCAGTCCTGTAATCAATGCAGACCAGCTTTGTCCTGAACAATTCTTGTACTAGGATACACATGTAGGTGATGCAGACCACATTTGCTTAGATGGATAATAAGAATATAAAGTAGAAGTAGCTACTACACCCACCATTTTTCAAAGACAATCAGATTAACTCAAGATTTACTTATGCAGTTAGGAAACTATGTAGGGTTTTAAATACAATTCATCCTGTAGACACTTACTCTGTTAGGTACTGTACTAAATGCCTCATAAATATTAACTCATGTAATCTTCGTAACTCAGTCAGAGGATATCTGTATTAGGCTTTTACTAGAGAAACAGATACCATACAAAGAACAGATATAACACAAGATGTACCAGTCATGGAGTCAGATAAGGAAGTGTGCAGAGGGCGTCTGAAGCTCACTGCAGTGATTCCATACAAGCCTCTATCATGCAGCCAGTGGGTCTGCAAGGGAAGGCTGAAGAATCTGTGACAGAAAGCTGAAGGATCCAAGCTGGAGGCCAAAGAGTGCTGGAAACCAGGAGATAAAGTCCAAGCTGACTGTGAAGACTGAAGTTCCTCCAAAGAAGTGGAATGTGGAGCCCTTCCTCAACCCCTTTGTGTAATCTTTGTGTTGAGTCACTCTGGGGCGGGCCCCCTCACAGCCTAGACTGTGGCACCACCAAGTCAATCCAGCCAAGTGGAGACAATGACACTTGGATAATAACAATATGTTTATAGGCAAGGAGAGGTCAAACACTTTGCCTGAGATCACATAGCTAAGAAGGGTCAGAGCCACAATTCAAAATCGCACCAGGTGCCAGTCATGCTTCTAAGCACTACAACATGCTATCTGAAAACCCTCAGAGGGAACTGCCGATGGACTCAGGCAAAGTGTTTTGACAACTCTCCATTCCTTGTGGAGAGTTGGTGTATGAACATAGCACATGTTAATTCTTTTCTCAGCTCCTGTCCCTCTATCTCTTGATTCTCTTCCCATTGACAAAGTTGTAGCTCCCTACTTTGTTTTCTTTTTATCTTGCTCTTTATTTGCAGTTTTAGTTTTTCATATAAGAGCAGTCACACAATACAAAACTGAGATACTGAATATGATCCAGTGTCACCACTGACAGCCTTGCTGAGCACTCACTTCTAACTGTGGAGGGGTGATCTTGGCCTCTGGACTGCCCAAGCCAGCTTCTATTTGAAAAGAGGCTGAGGAAAGCTCTGGACTAAAGGAGGTTTTTACACCTCTTTATGTCAGGTGGCATCCAACAGTAGAAGTCTAGGGGAAATAATTGTCTCCACTAATCCCACAGGGAGGAATATTGGGTGGGTGGGTGTGTTACTGCTTTTGCTTCAATAATGTTCTACCTTGTCTGGTCACATTGACCACATCAGGTATTTTGTAGGATTTTGTGTTTGTTCATTAATTGGATTCACTCTCCCTGTCCTCTCACTTTCCACTTTTGTCCCCTTCTCATACACAGCCATATCGCTCCTCTCCCCCTTTTATGTAAACATGTTTCTGTTTTTGTTTCGTTCTGTTTTATTCTTGTTTCTATCACCTCCTCCCAAGCTGGCTTACCAAAATAGTAGATAGCATTTTAACCACTTAGCAGTTATTTACAGGATGACCAACTATTACATATTCTTGTTAATTTTTATAAGATCATATAACAGGAAATATAAAAATGACAATTTTATCTGATTCATTCAATACATGAATCAACTGGTTGAAATGGCACCTTCCTGAATATCTGGATAGTCAGTACATACGTAAACTGCTGTCCAAGTGGCACTTGGTCTAAATAGTTAAGTAGTTAAGTAAGTTTAAAACTATATGTCAGGGGGCCTGGCCCTAGCTCAGTCCTTTCAGTGGCTGCTTCCACAAAGCTGTCAGCCTCAGGTTCCTGGAGTTCGAACCTCACAACTCTCC